GTCCATTGGTTATGTTTATATGCATGCATACAAGTCCTTCGGTTGATCTCTTACTCCCCTCCCTTCTGCCCCCCAACCCTCTCTGGCCTTCCCACTGCAGTTTGACAATCAGTTTGAGGCAGCTCTGCCTCTGTATCTATTATTGTTCAAAAGTTTGTAATGGTCTTTATTATCCATGTATGAGTGAGATCATGTGGTATTTTTCCTTCATTGACTGGCTTATTTCACTTAGCATAATGCTCTCCAGTTCCATCCATGCTGTTGCAAATGGTAAGAGTTCCTTCTTTTTTACAGCAGCATAGTATTCCATCGTGTAGATGTACCACAGTTTTCTAATCCATTCATCTACTGATGGGCACTTAGGCTGTTTCCAGATCTTAGCTATGGTGAATTGTGCTGCTATGAACATATGGGTGCATATATCCTTTCTGATTGGTGTTTTTGGTTTCTTGGGATATATTCCTAGAAGTGGGATCACAGGGTCAAATGGGAGTTCCATTTTTAGTTTTTTGAGGAAACTCCATACTGTCTTCCATAGTGGCTGCACCAGTCTGCATTCCCACCAGCAGTGCACAAGTGTTCCTTTTTCTCCACATCCTCTCCAGCACTTGTCGTTTGTTGATTTGTTGATGATAGCCATTCTGACAGGTGTGAGATGGTACCTCATTGTTGTTTTGATTTGCATCTCTCGGATGATTAGTGATTTTGAGCACGTTTTCATGTGTCTCTTGGCCTTCTGTATGTCCTCTTTTGAAAAGTGTCTATGTAGTTCCCTGTAAATTTTGGAGATTAAACCCTTATCTTTTCACTACATCTTTTAACATATTTATTATAGTTTGTTTAAAGTCCTTGTCTGACAAGCCCAACAGCAGGGCCTGGGTTTGCTTTTATTAACTGCTTCATTTTTTCAATAATAGTTCATATTGTCTTCTTTCTTTGAATGTGTCATAATTTTTTTTTTAAATATATTTTATTGATTTGTTATAGAGAGGAAGGGAGAGAGATAGAGAGTTAGAAACATTGATGAGAGAGAAACACCTCCTGCACACCTCCTACTGGGGATGTGTCCTCAACCAAGGTACATGCCCTTGACCGGAATTGAACCTGGGTCCTTTCAGTCCGCAGGCCAACGCTCTATCCACTGAGCCAAACCGGTTAGGGCTGAATGTGTCATAATTCTTAATATTAGATCAGGCATTGTGCATAAAAGAACAATGAAGAGGGAGGTAAATAATATTTACTCCCAGAAAACTGCATTCTGAATTCTTCTCTCAGGCTCCTAGTTTCACAATACCAAAACTGGCAAGGATGTGAACTACAAGAGCTCACATGTAGAATGAGTGAGTGCTTACATTGGTACAATGACTTTTGGGGGATGGTTTAAAATTATATGATAATGCTCAAGATATACCTACTCTATGTTTCAGAAATTTCACTCTGGCTATATTCTAAATACATGTACAATAATATTCATAGCAGTGTTGTCAATACAATTACAAAAAACTGGAAAAGACCCAAATGTTCATCATCTGCAAAAAGGAGAAACTGTGGTATTTTTATAAAGTCGAATCTTATACAACAACAAAATTGCATTAACTACAGCTATACACAATATAACTGCATCTTATAAACAAATTTTAAAAAGGTGAGATATATTATTCCACTTAAAAATTTAAAAACAAGCAAAACTAAACATATTACTTATGGATGCATGAATATATGGTAAAAATATAATGGAAAGCAGGAAATGATTAGCACAAAAGTTGGAATAAACAATGACCTCTAATAGAGAGGTGGGATTGGAAGTAGAAAGGACTGCACATATGGGTGGCTGCTGTGCTAGAAAATTTCTATCTTGTGACCTACATTGGCATGGTGGCATGGGCATATTTGTTAAATTATACAGGTATGTTTTATATGTGGGTAATATTTCTGTGTGTGTGTGTGTGTGTGTGTGTGTGTGTGTGTGTGTGTGTGAGAGAGAGAGAGAGAGAGAGACTTATTCTTAGTCTGATTTATATGGTCCCAATAAACTTATTGTTCCCTGAAACAGGCATTTGTCATCAATGATAAAATTTTTGCTTAAAAAAATTTGTCTCTTAAAAAAGTGGAGTGAAGATGAGAAAATAACTGTTTAGTTACAAGAAATCATTATTGTATCATTCAGAGATAGACAAGGATTGAAATGCTAAAGAACTGGTGAGCTGAAGCAAATCCAATGACATTCTTGCCTCTCTTGATCTGTGCTGAAGTTTTTTAAGTTCATAGTGACTCTTTAAATAACTGTCTCCCTGTTTTCTCCTAGAAAACAGAGACCAGAACAGAATAATTCTATATTTTCCAACTAAAGCCTCTCTCACAATGAAGGAAGTGAATGACTCACATCTATTCACTCAGAGTTTTGCTATGTCTTTGAAGGTATGAATTTTCAAATTCAGTAGCAGAAAGCAATAACAGTTTTGTTTGTAGAAGTTAGAAAGTACATGTTGTTAATTCAGGACTTCTACACTGCTGCAGAAATACTTCACTCCTGGTTTTGTCATTTATAGTTATAAAGACAACCTATAATTTTGTGGCTATATACTTTAAAAATTCCTGACTTTAAATAGTACTAAAAGTTTGTTGTGAAATGTTTAACTCCTCTGAAAACAAACAAAAACAAAACTAAAATTACATCCTGCACATACATGCACAAAAACCCTCATCAAAATGATTTCCTATAAATGGACAAGTGTGGCTTCACATTCTCAGAAATAAAAAAAACCCCTGCATGCTCTGTATGAAAACAATTACACTGAGTATTCAAGTAAGAGGAAGTTAAGGAACTGAAAAAATCTTTTCAAGGGACAATGAATAGCTAAAAAAAGTTAATGAAGGAAATAAATATATACACTCAGATCATGGCATTGCCAATTTGGAACAAGCTGCCTTCAAATGTTTAAAATAATCACCCTGAAGAAAAGCATATTAAGTCACAGTAATATGGTTGAATTAGAGCAGGGGTCCTCAAACTACGGCCCGCGGGCCACATGCAAATACAAATATTGTATTTGTTCCCGTTTTGTTTTTTTACTTCAAAATAAGATATGTGCAGTGTGCATAGGAATTTGTTCATAGTTTTTTTTTAAACTATAGTCCGGCCCTCCAACGGTCTGAGGGACAGTGAACTGGCCCCCTGTTTAAAAAGTTTGAGGACCCCTGAATTAGAGTAATGGGGTAAAATTAGGCATGAACTAAACTATTATTTTCTATTAAGGCTAATTTTGAAAAATACTTCCAGGATGATTGATTATGATCTGAAAATGACGTTTTAGGAAATAAATCATTTTCCCAAAGATTTTTTTAATGGTTGTTCCTTTTTGGTTTAGAGAATGCCTATGAGTTCAAATCTCTTTGTTCCAATGAAGAACTTCTGTCCCTTTTCTGCAGTCTGCTGACCCACTACATCAGGTCGATATCTCCAGTTCTCCTTTGCACTCCGGCAACTAAGACAAGCAAAGCAAACCAAGAGAACTCAAAGGAGACCTGTTCAGTGTGGCTCAGTTGGTTGGGTGTTGTCCCTACACTAAAAGGTTGCTGGTTCGATTCTGGTCTGGGCACATGCCCAGCTCGACCCAATAGGAGGCATGCAGGAGGCAGCTGATGTCGATGTTTCTCTCTCTCCTCTCTTCTCTCTCTCTCTCTAAAAATCAATAAAAGTCCTTTTTTAAAAAAGAGAGAGCTCAAAGGAAAGGACCATAAGGTAGGCTTTATATTTTTGTGTCCTATAGTGTGCAGATCTCTAGGTTAAAAGATCGGAGATCTGGATCCTAGACACTGCATGATTTAGAGCAAGACAGTCAAACTTCATAGATCTGTTTGTAGTTTTTTTTTTCATCTTTTTTTTTTTCAGGTACATCATGAGAAGGCAGGGTTCTTTGCAAGAGATAATAATGGTGGGAAAAACAGAAGGCTGCAGGAAAAGAGGAAAATCAACTATGGGATTGATTGACTTCATAAAAGAAGCCACAGGCATGCATCTACAGGAGCTGAGCAGGGTTACTGAGGAGAGATCATTGTGGACATCACTCACTCAAAGGATCACCAAGAGTTGGAGCTGACTCAACAGCATGTAACAAACACACAAGATAGGGATAAAATTACTTATCTTGCTCGCAGCATTGGGTTGTTAAAATAATCAAGTAATGTGCTGTGAAAATACAAAAATAAATTATAGGATCATTATTACTGCACTCTACAACTCGTGCTGCTTGGTCCACACCACTTTCCCAGCATCCTTTGCGCCTGACTCAGCTATGACCAGTTAGGCTCTATCATGGAGCCAGTGATTGGATGGTAGCAGCAGTGGTGTGGACAGTGGGAGATGAAGAACTGAACAACAGTACTAATAGCTCAGCTGCTCCAGGTTACCAACTACTTCGTCCATTAAATTCGCAGCTGGGAAGAACATTTCTGACAATTATTATGCAATAACACAAATGTTTCTGAACAGGTTTTTTTCTGGCTCTGAGTTATCCCATTCTGATCTATAAAATTAAAATTTAGAAGTGGTATGAAGGAGAGCTCTTACTCTGAAGCAATCACCTCCACTGGAAAGAGCTCCATCCACATTGTTGAATTATGAAATGACTTAAGTACAGTGGAATTTTGTTTACCAAGTATTGCTTGAGATAAGCAGAACTGTACAGGTTTCAAAATGGTAATATTTTACAAAATATACATCTTTTAATGGGGTGAGGAGAAGAATGTGTGGTGATGGTGTTTTACAGACTTTTCTGGGGCTGAACAAAAGCTTTGTTTTGATATTAAAGTTGTGTGATTTATATAGGCTTGAACATATAATCACTTTAGAATGAAAATTTCCATTTTTTATGAGCGTTCACAGGCTAAGAAAGGAATACTTTAAAGTTAAGGGTATGTTAATATGTGCATAGGCATCAACCAAGTTGGAAACCAAGACTAACCAGACTAACTTGCCTTACCACCAGTTTCTCAACAACAGTACCATTGATATTCTGAGCTGGACACTTCTTTATTGTAGGAGACTGTTCTGTGCACTGTGTGATATTTAGCAGCATCTGTGGCTTCTACTCACTAGATGCCAGTAGTGACAACCAAAAATGTCTCCAGGCCTTGCCAAATGTCCCCTCGGGGGCAAAATCAATCTCAGTTAAAAATCACTGCACTAAAACCATTAATTAAATTTGCTGCATAAGAATATTTTTTTTTGCTTCTAGAAATTTGCTCTTATAAAGGACATGCTTTTCAAATAATCAACAAATTTTAGTTCCGACTAATTTTACTAACAATTATTTTGGGGCTTTTAAATTTACAAAGTACTTCTACATGCAATATTATATAAGTGAAAGAAGGAAAGGTGTTAATATTTATTATTCACTATATGCCATCTTCTGAAGGACTTGCTTCAAACACACTCTTCTAGTTAAGTCTCAGAGTATCTCTACTTTGGGAATTATTTTCCTCCATTTTATAGATGAGGAAACAAATTTAGAGATATTAAGCAACTTTCCCAAGAAATGTAGATAATCTTCTAACTTCAAGTTTTTTGCATTTGTTGTTGTTGTTTTTTTGTTTGTTTGTTTGTGTGTTTGTTTGTTGATGACATGTTTTTATTGATTTTAGAGAGAGGGAAAGAGAGAGAGAGAGAGAGAGAGAAACATCGATATGAGAGTGAAACATCCATCTGTTGCCTCCCACACACGACCCGACCAAGGATCGAACCCATAACGTAGTTATGTGCCTGACTGGGAATTGAACCCAGGCCTTTTAGTGTACAGGACAACGCTCCAACCAAATGAGCCACACTGGCCAGGGCTCAAGTTGTACTACTCTTTGTCCCACATCACAGCTGTCAGTGAGACGCTGATCATTTATCCTTGATGATGAAAATAGCAGTTATAATCTATGTGTCAGAATTAAGTTATCTCACAAAGGGCCCAAGTTAATTTTTACACTTTTCCATTTTACAATTTGAGAGATTGGCCTCAAATAACCAAGTTGCAGGCATGTATCATCATTAAAAGAAAATTCAATTCAGTCTTATGCAACAGCCAGTTAAAATATTCAAACCAACCCAAACTCTCTCTGGGTTATTAAGTTACATTACCCTTCCATCAGCTGATTTTGTAATATATGGCAGGTGATTAGCAGGGTAGCGAGAGCAGCAGATGTTACTGGGGATTTGGAGGAATGGAGCTGGTTTTCACTGCTGCCACATAAAATATTTGAAATTAAATATTAGATACCCTTTTCTTAAAAGTCCTTCTGCCATTGCATCTCCAGAATGCATCTCTTTTTTCCCCCAGCCATCTTTTCCTCAGGCTCCAACCTGCTATCGCACAGCTTACTCAGTCCTCTCCCTTCCCCAGTTAGCCCCTTTCACTCCCTGGTTCTCTAGATCCCTTTACCTTTAGCTCTTCTGGGAATGTAATTCTCTTCACGCACAGGGCAGAACAATTAGCTCTCCACTCCCTCCTCAGGTTGGGCTCCACCTCTGCATATTTGAAAATAGGTGTCGCTTTGCTAAACAAAAGGCATCTCCTCAGGAGCTCTGCCCTGTGCAACACTAAAGAACTGGCAGACTTGGCAATGTCAGTTTTTCTTCAGTCCCCACTCTGTCCCTGTTTTCCTCCTCCCAAGCTCTGTAAGTGGAAGAGTTCAACATCGACACTCATTTTTCCACGAATAAGTGCTATCTAGCCAACTGCCATACAGTGCTTAGTCAGTTCTTGATTTTTTAAATACTTTGTTGAATAAGTGCTATCTAGCCAACTGCCATACACATCTCAAAAGGAAGCAGTGCTTAGTCAGTTCTTGATTTTTTAAATACTTTGTATTGAAAGATAAAACAGATACTGAAAGTGCAAATTTACAAGTGTACATCTCTATGAACTTTTATAAACTGGACACACCTGTGTAACCAGTATCCAGAACAAGAAAGAACATTACAAGCATTCCAGAAGCCTCTTTGCTCCCTCCGCCAATCAGTGTAATAATTTCTCATGACAAAGAGTTGTACAGGCCAGCATATGCTCTGTAACTAGGAGCAATGCAGTGAGTTATTTGTTTTTATTACTGTGTTGCATTCAATCACAAGGCACACACAAGGCACACTTGCTTATATTATTTGTATACATACCATTGAAAACATAGTGATTATGTTAGTGTTGTGATTTAGGGGTTTGAGAAGGAAGAGAAACCTCCTAGGTCCTGTTCCTGGGACTTCTCAGAGCCCATCAGTCTTTCCTAGGTGGGGTTCTCTCCTAGTCACACAAGAGCCCAATTTCCATTGGGTTCCATGGGTATTATCTATTCTAAGTGATTATAATGCTCTCAGCAAAGCTCACACTAACTGCATATGAAACTTGCTCCCATAATCACCAGTACTGCCATTTTACACTGTAACTGTCTCAACATATATGAGACACTGAAGTGGTAGAATTCCCTGTCTCAGTGGATCTTATCCCTGGTAGTGCATTGCAATCATCTGAAAAATTACAATAATTTTTTTAAGAAGCTTATGCCCACCCTAAACCAATGACATCAGAATCACTTGAGGGGAACCAGCATTGATAATTTTAAAGTTTCATGTATTTCTAAAGGGTTGAAGAGCATTGCAACTTTCAACCTTTTCTTGGAACTCACTTCCATTTTGATTTTAAGCATATCAGCAACTCTAATTACATTCTCAAGGTGACTGAAAATGTAGCCCAAATTTGATTACCAACTGCCTTTTAAACATAGGGAAGGACATTTTCTCTTCCCCTCCCCCCCATACACACACAATGAAGGGACTATCCACCATCTCCCAATTTCCTTCCAATGAGCGCTGGCAGGAATGGTGAGATCACCTGAGATCCCTACAATGAAGATGTGATCACTAGAGCCCACTTCCAGAGGAAGCTGAATCTTCTTCAGCACTAAAGTGTGTTATCATCCGGTTGCATTCACTCCAGGACATGCGGGCTACCTAAACAGAGCCGCACAAACAAGTGCTCTCTTGTCTCTGAAGACAGTTTTACTGTCAACAATCACCAGTGACTCACCAGCTACGTTTTGGTAGCTTGTGAGCTGCAGTGGTGATGTGAGGGGGTGAGTGAGGTGAAAAGCCTGGGGCTGCACAAGGTGGCTGGCAGGGACAGGGGGTATCCCAGAAGTTAGGTTCAGAAAGAGTCTAGGCAGCCGTGGGCAAACTACGGCCCGCGGGCCGGATTCGGCCCGTTTGAAATGAATAAAACTAAAAAAAAAAAAAAGACCATACCCTTTTATGTAATGATGTTTACTTTGAATTTATATTAGTTCACACAAACACTCCATCCATGCTTTTGTTCCGGCCCTCCGGTCCAGTTTAAGAACCCATTGTGGCCCTCAAGTCAAAAAGTTTGCCCACCCCTGGAGAGAGAGGTGGAGGTATTGGCAGGGTTGTGGAGGGCTTTTCTTATGAAAATATCTGTTCCTGTTTCCTTTCATGTCATCATGTGCCCATATTCTCTGGCTTTCTCTATCATCAGGAAGTGTTGTGATCCAAGAGATCTGCCTTCAGCACCTGAATGATGTAGTAACTGAAGGATGGGCAATAGCTTGAGAAGGTGCCCCAGAGGCCACACGTCACCTGGCCTGAGGCTCATACACAAATATGAAATTAGCCCCAAATATATTTGACTCCTGTAACATCCTTTCCACAAGTTTCAAATAAAGGAATTGGAAATTCCACCTTTTCTTTCTGCCCCTTCTCTTCATGCTACTTGTTCCCTCCTCTTTTTAGTTGCTCATCAAGTTCCTTTTAACCTAATATTTTCCTGTGTTAAAGGCTAGGAGAATGGATGTCACATTAGGTAATTTACTTTAAATCTCCAGACTTCTAAGAGATGTTCTTGCTGGAAGAAAAAAGTAACCCTCTGATAAACTTCTCTTTAAGCCCAGCTTTGCAAACGGGCC